ACCCCCCCCCCCAGCCCCCGCGTCCATTTATTGAAGTGTAGTTTCTCATCGAACTCCAAACGTAACATTTTTCATTTCGTCTCCTGCTGCTCCGAAAATACCGTTAAAAAGACAAACAAAAAAACCAACGATGTGTTGTGTATGTGTTGTAAATATACGGTTCGCGGCCCCGATGTGGACCGTATGAACATGAATGCTGCTTCATCAGGTCAGAGTTGAACTCTGGGCTCTACTATCTGGCCTTTGTTCTTGCTGGTTTTGGTTAACTGAAGTTCTGTCATGGGGTTGGTTGATTTTAGAAGAAGACCTTCTCCAGCGTCACATGACCTCCAGCTTCTCACTCTGTGGTTCAGGCCAGGGGGTTGATGGGAAATGTGTCCTTGACAGAGGAAACAGGAAACAGGACGATATGAAGGAAGGGAAGAGAAGGTGAGATCAGAGGAGGATTCCTTTGTTCTTGACAACAATGGAGGGCTTCACCAAAGCACCTGGCTTTACCTCAGCACACACACACACACACACACACACGCACACACACACACACTGAAAAGGTGTTCAGTTCAACCCACACACAGCAGACTCAATAATTACTCACACTTTGAACGCAATTTCCTGGCTGTGGGAAATGATTGACAGATCGTATCCATGGTGTCGGGGGGGCAGCCACGCCCCCTCCTGACGAAGGCAGAAATTAGAGAACAGCAGGAGCTAAATTACACCTCAGCACAGACCTGTGGCAAGAGGGCAGGAAGGGAAGCATGATGAATGAGAGAAGGATCAGAGCGGAGAGGTGGAGGGTGAGCGGCGTGGGAGCAGCGAGATGATTGGAGGAACAGCTCGGAAATACATTTGTAGCCGCACGCGCACACACACAAGTGCATCAGCGCCGGAGGACACACACAAACTCACGGCGAGGTAATGGCTCTGCAGTACCGTTGGAGTGCAGAAGGAGAGACACTTAAATGGCATCTCTACAGCTGGGACGCTGTTTACTCCATTTGCCTCTCTCTCTCTGCCTCGCTCGCTCACTCGCTGGCACCAGAATCCATCATCAGCTTCCTGTAAGCTGTACGTGTGATCAGAAGCTGCTTTGGTTTTTATCACTGGGGTGAGTTTTTCTTCTCAGTTGCCCTGCTGTAGAGGGGGAAGGAGGAAGAAGAAGGACGGCGTGAAGCCCAGATGGGCTGCCAGGACGGCTGGAAGAAATAATAATAAAAATAATAATAACAATAATCATCATAATAATCACAATAACATGTTATCAACCTGTTTCCTTAAAAGCTAATGTACACATTTTAAAATGCACAAATCTGTGATTTCTTTTCAAGGCCAAATAACAAAAACTAATGCTTTAAGTGTTTTTTTTCTCTTGATATTTTAATTATATACATTGATTACACGCTGATTTATTAACCGAAACACTGAATACATTATCAATAACCTATATACATTTTTTATATTTTAAGTTAGAAATGATGCACGTTTTCATTTTCAATAGTTGACCAGTCTGGACAGTAGGCAGGCCAGTCAAACCATGTCCTATCTATGAAGCTAGACTTCGGGGGGTTGAACACAGTCTGGATGATTTTTTTTTTAATGTTTGATACGTAGAATGTTTTAGTTGTTTCTGGACAATGTTTCTGCAAAATGATGTTTACGTTCCACTTGTCTCTGCACGATTCGGTCTCTCAGGGCAGTTTTTGATGCACCAGTGGTGTTCGGTGACAATAACTTAAGCCTTTTGGTCATGCACATTTAGCAGCAGTGTCCACCTGTGGTCTCCACACACACTGGTTCAACCTGACTCTCCCTGAATCTTTTGAGACAAATTTCTGTTCTACCTTATACTATTCAAAATATAAGTCATAACTCCGTGGGTGATTCCCTGCAGTGGACGATGACCTATCCCTGGATGCAAAGGCCACACCTTTTACTGATAGCTAATTAAGCTAACTCACAAACTGTACCTTTATAGAGTTTATCATACATGTCAAAAACTACTAACTAAAGTAGTAATAACTTAATTGGTTTACTATTGTGAATAATTGTATCTTCCTGTTTTCACTGTGAATAAATGTTTAATCGTGTAAACAAAATACAAAACAACTTTAATTTTATATATTTTTAAGGATATATACTAAGCGTTCAGCAATGTGGTTGTATGTTCTAAACAAAGACAAGAAATACTGGCAGTGCAACAGGCCTAAGTCTCTCTCCCTCTGCCTCTCTCTCTCTCTCTCTCTCTCTCTCACCATAAGGAAATACAAATGTGTATCAGGCCTGAGCACACACGAACTCACAAACATAGATTTTAACACATACCAAAAAGACAACACAGATGGTCGATACGCTGTCACATGTTATCGATCATGTCAGTCGCTCACGCTGAGAATCGATTTTATATTCCCAATCCTGGACTGCGTCGTCCGCGTATGACGTGGAGAAATTGAAAATCAATCAACAGCTGATCGATCCGTCACTGATCGGCGATAGTTGTCGATAAACAGCCTCAATAAAGCGGTTGGCATGCGCACGCGCACGCCGGTGTGTGGCCACGCAGTAACAGTGCGGTGTTAAAATAATCGGCCACCGTGATTATTTACCTGCGCTAAATTTCAGCTCGTCCGGTTTTCTTTCCGCGGAGACACGAAATTCTACATCACGCCCAGATCTGTCGGGATCAGCCGTTACCGGCGTTACCACCGTTACCGTTACCAACGATGCTGCTGTCGCCACTGCAGCCAGGCTGCGAAGATCCTGTGAGGGCGGCAGCGACAGGACCCATCACTCTGCAGCTTTTACCACAGTCGTCCTCCGTCTGCGATACTCAAACGAACTACTTGAACGACACCCGTGTCGCTTTAGTTGTCTGTTAGCACTGCCACAATAAATAAGTACTTCGTCACACGGTACAACGAGGCCGCAGTGAGTTTCTAACCCAGCCCTGCAGTTAAATTCAACAAAATGATGCCCAAAATAATAGTACAAGTACACAGCAAAAGACAGACAAAAGTCAGAGAACACACTGCCTGCCTGACAGAAGAAGAAAAAAAAAAGCTCACACTGCCATCTGTGTTCTACTGAGTGTATTGCTATTCTGTATTTGTGATGTTTTGAAACTCAATTTGAACCCGGACTGACAGCTGGATTCTCCAATAGGATCTCAGCGACAGAAAACACATTTTAAATACAGTATATGAAAACCTAGCTTTTGGTTTGTGCTGTAGCAGAGCTATGCTATCCAAGTAGAATTACATTGAAATATGTTTCTTGCACCTATATATGTGACATTACAAATCTTTTATTTTAAATACAGTATATGGAAACCTAGCTTTTGGTTTGTGCTATACCTATATATGTGACATTACAAATCTTTAAACTCCAACAGTGACCAATCATGATGGTCACCTGTACAATGGCTGCATTTTTTTTTTTACAAACTTTTTTTTTTTTTTTTACAAACCACCCGCCATGACAACAACAACATGATGAAAACTCATCATTGTTCTCGTCAGTCTGATATGTGTTATCATTATCTCCGGCAGCTACGTCCTCCTCTGCATGACTTTAGAAAGGCACGGTTCACAAAAGTATAATTAGATGGAGCGATAAGTGGGTGGATACTGTGTGTGATGTACAGTAGAGTCTATCAGTTTGTGTGCGCGCGTGTGTGTAGGTGTGTAATGTAATGGTGTATATGACTTGTGTTTGTCTTCAAGGGAGTAAAGGACCATCAACACCATGATTATCACTCCTACTAATTTTACAGAGTACGTGTTTGTGTGTTTGTGTGTGTGTGTACCCTCCACATGTAGATGTGTGGGCAACTGTGACATAAGAGCATGTAGGTGCTGTTATGTATATATATTTATTTAATGCCTTCAGAAATGTTATTTTCTAAAAGAAACAAGTAGACTAGGTAGAGTGGGGCCCTGAACTTT